TCCACCCAATTCAAATTGGGTAACCTGGCAGGCCATTCACTCAATCTGTGACCAATCGATCTTTGGGGGAAGTTTGGGGGAACACATGCACGCACATGCCCATACACTCACAAGTGCCCTGTCTCTCTCTCTCTCTCTCTCTGTGTGTCTGTGCATGCGTCTGTGCGTGTGTGTGCATGTGTGTGAGGGAGATGATCTCGGGGACCTGTGTTATGTATTTCAGGCCATAATATACAAAATAAGATATTTTGGGAAGTTTTAACTCTTCTGGGTATCCCCACTCCACAGCATTGGTGGTAAAAAACGTGCAGAACTGACTTAAAACTGACTACTTGAATGATTCCTTGCAATTAAATATTACCATTTAAGAATAAATGTTTATCATATTAGAATGCACTATGCTGGGCCAATGTGATGTAACATACATTTTAGTTCAGGGCCAAGTATTTTGATGATGCGATACCGAAAGTGGAATAGTTGCATGTGTCAGCTAGTATAAAACAATTTCCTAATACCAACAAGAGCACCCCTAGCCCATTTACAAGGTTTTGCTTTAAATACGATCAGTTAGAAAATAAACTTACGATGCTTGTGGAAAGCCTTCCTGTCTCAGCAGTTTTATCTTCTGACAAAGGTTTTTTGGTGCATGCTTGTCAATGGGTTCTAACTTTTTGATGTTAGAGTTCATCCATGATGACTCTGTTACAGGAACTGTTGAAGAATGTGTTCCAACAAGTGTAGAAAGTTGCTCCACTTCTAAATGATATGGAACAGCAATAAGATTATTTCCAACAGCAACTAGTAAATGACTGCTCACATTCCAAAGTCTTGGTGGTTTCGTATACAACTTGAAATGCAATCTTGATTGAACTAATTGAAATTCTAAATTAAGAAGGATTAGTGTTGCACCTGGAAACCAAAAAAAAAAAATTATCATCAACAAATCTGTTTAAACAGAATGTCAATAAGTATCTCTACTGTAAATGCTGTGCATCTGTGAGCTCTGAGATGACTATTGTGTATTTTTTTATACAATCAGCACACTGGAATTGTTTGTCAGCTGCCAGACCACAACAAAATTGTTATTCTAAGAAAATCATTGACACAATTTGTCTGAAATAGAATCTGATCTTTTTTTAAGCCTTATGTGCCTGTGACTTTGTAAAACAACACATCCCCACATTGTCAATTTACAGGTGTGAAAACCTAGCGGAAAAAATCCCCTTGAATTGCAACCTTCAATGACACTATTTGCAAGTAATGTCGATAGCAACAATGAAAGAGCAATTGTGAGGAAACTTTCTGAACTCTGTAGTAGTAGTTACTGAAACCAATGTGACATATTTAATTTTCATACCTTCTTCACTTGAATCAGCCCCAAAGAAGGCAAGGTGGCTGTTACTAATAGGAGTAATTGCAACAGGATGCTTTGAATTAACAGAAGTTACTTTCTGGAGGAATGTTCCAGGAAAATTAATATCTACAGTAGGCAAAAACTTGAATGAAAATAGAGAGCCATCTGACCCTGAAAGCAAAATCATATCATATTAAAAACAGTTAGTTAATATATGAAATAAGTTCATACAAATCTGCTCATACTTACAAAGCGTAAACAAGAAGCACGAATTCTCTTTTGCCATCAGTGCATGACCAATAAGACTGACATTGTTACACAACACAGGGTATTGTGCTGAAGGAGCTCCGGTAATAACAGGTACTACATGTAATGTAATTTCGTCCTAAATGAAATCAGATCATTTGCATTTCAGAAATTACTAATTCAACTACTCTTTGAGATTAAATCTATCCTCGTGAAACAAAAGACCCCACAACTGTAGCCCTGGCCAGAACTTGGTCCTTATGAATATTGCAACTCTTAATTAGATGGAAGTAAGGCTACCTCTTACTTTAAAAAAAAAAGATCCTGAAAACACTTATTTCAAAAAATCTCAGGATACATTTTTGCAGAAATTCTACAATTTTCCCTACATCATGTTTATAATTAGTGTAAAATTAATACCTTTTCATTGGAGGATGTGAATGCAACCAATTTTACCCCATTACATGATACCAATGTGTGCTCTTTAATATAATCTGAATTCTTCAAAACAGTATTGCTCAGAGTACTTTTACGAGTCTCTAATGCTTGGGTCAAGGTGGTCACATATCCACATCGATACAAAATGAAAGCCGTATCTCCATCTAGATCTGGTATCACACAATGCAAAGGCTCCTGAAACTAAAATTTACCAATGATTTGTGAATCTTAATATTGATATATCCTTCTTAAAAATTTACTATTGATTTTACAGACAGAAGATTTACTCAAACACACCTTGTACTTTTTCACTTTGTCTAATTGATCTTCTTCATTCCACATCCTTAACTGATCATGATTAAAAACAGCAGAATACTGAGAATTGTTAACATTGTACACTACCGGAGATGTAAGTTTGTCTTTAGAACTCCAACTGCTAACCTGCTTTTGATCCTGAAACTGAAAATTGCCATTTTACAATACTGTCATTCAATAAAATAAAACAAAGACATATTAAAGAGCAATATTTTAGTCTTGGTCTTTAAGAATCAGTACCCAGAACATTAATTCACTGTCATCGAAAATGTAATTTTGTATTTTTGACATTACACACATGATATTTTCAAGACAGTCAATATCCAGGGAAGTGGACTCCAGTGAGTCTTTAAATAAAGGCATTATCAATCATTTTTAGTAGGAGTCTAATATAAAATTAATACAAAAATACAAGAAATAACTGGATTAAGAATAAATGTTAGTCATACCCAATGCAAAGACTACAATGATGTTGACCAAAAAAATAATTTCAATACAAAACAAATACACATAATATTTTTAAATCCCAAATGTAAAAATTAAAATAGTATTTAATTATAATAAAAACTACGGTACCAAAGTAATCATAAAAATACCACAATTACAATCATTTCTACTTTTAGTTCAATCAATCTACTTTTCAATTTTTTTACCTCCCACAGTAACATTAAGAAAGAAATAATCAGATCAAAGTACATGTAAACAAAGAGATTGAATGACATTTTCTAAAACAATACAAACCTTCACTATAATTACATTCTTATCTTTATAACTAGACAGATTGGTAAGCAAAATCAAATATAAAACAAAAAAGGTCTTATTTACAATAATTGTCTCACAACCAAATGTTATTGTCATTTTCAATTACACATGTGAAATTGCAGAATCTAATAATGAGTAATATACATACTTTGTATCTGATAACAATGTTTTTGCCAATTGTTACAATAACACAATCTGGAACAGCATCAACTCCAACTCCCAACAAACTGTTATTATCTATTAATGGGCACAATCCATAGGCAACGCTCAACTTTGCCATTGTTCAATTAAAAAAGAAAGTCCTTAAAAGCACGAACAATAATATTGGTAAATATGTTATATGGAACCCTAACCTATACAATTATTAACCAACGTGTACCAACACGCACGTTCTATCTCTCTTGCAAGTTCCCTGTAGAATGAATATAGAAATTCCTTGCAGCCAAATACATTCTCAGGTACTGTACGCGCACGTTATCTTGAGCCCCGGAGGACGTATCCCCACTCCTTCACTAATATTAGTTGATTTAAGAATAAATAAAAGCGACGAACACAATCTGATAACACGAAGTGTTCGCTCTGGTGTATATAAATTATTTTGCATTGTGAAACGAGCCACAGATTTGGTTGAAGTTGTAGAAATAACCAACCTCTCCTCTCCACATCTAGCTACATGTCTCAAGAAAACGTGTAGATATCTATAATTTAAGTGTAGTCAGGGATAACGAACTAGAAGTAGAGGGAGCTCCAATACCATTCAATCCAATAAAAAACTGTACCCTATTTTTGCACCCTTAGTTGTGTCCACGACAAAGTCATTTGAGACCACCCGTTTAGTTTAATTTTTCAAAATAATCAGTAGACTAAATAAACATTCGGCCCATTTAGATGAATTTCCGGATTGTTTGTTAAAGGTTTGCGCGCCCGCCATTATACACCCTTTAACTCAAGTTTAAAGTATCCTTATGCACAGGAATTTTTCCAGATATTTTTAAAACAGCTAAGATTAAGACACTCTTCAAAAAATTAAATTCTAAATTATCGGCCAATTTCTCTTTTGTCGCTCTTTTCAATATTTATTAGACTTTTTTTTACGTACGAATGGAAACATTTCTTAGTATACACGACGCGTTTTCAATTGCCAACATGGATTTCGAAAATCAAAATCTACGGAAACAGCCATACTTTCGTTTCTTAAAGATGTCGCCGCATCCATGGATCAAAACGAAGTACCTATAGGAATATTTTTTAGATCTTTCAAAAGCTTTTGACGTCATTGAACATAACATTTTACTCTCAAAATTACCTTCGTATGGAATTCGTGGTATTGCTCTAGGTTGATAACAAATTCATACCTTAAACAACGAACCTGCGAAACACCATGTGCAATTAAAAAACATTTATTTCGTGTTGCTCACGAAATACCAAATTGTTAAAGTAACTTCACACTTTCAATAGCTTACACCACTTAGTTAAACTTGTGAAATTATAGTGTGCAGTCACACGATTTGTACATCCGCAGGCGTCTTCACGTCTTTCATTTTACTTCGTCTCTTCGGTTGTAGAACCTTCCTATACAGCCTACATGACTTGCCAGAATTGTGTCACTTTACAATGCGCCACTGCTATGCACGAGTCTACAATGTCTTTTGATGATTCGAGTTAAGTTGTAGCAAATTAATTCTCTTGACTTAGTGAACAGGCATGCTCTTCTGACTCAAAATCTTCTTCCAAACCTAAAATTTCTGCCTTATAACTTCTCCAAAGTAAAAGGTCGAAGTAAATAATTTTAATATATATTTGAACATATATTCAATTATACATGAACATAAATACATTTCTGTATTCTTTCCTGAAAAATAAATACATTACATTTTATAGGCATGTTTTCATCACTAAAATCTCTATTTTCTCAGTAATATTGCAATTGATTTTTTTTCTTGTTCTGAATTAATTTGTTTGTTACAGCTTAAAGAGTTAATGTTAAATACACACTCTCACTTGGAACAATAAAACATATTACGTTTTAAGAGTTTTTCATTATTTCAAGTCCTATACATTCCCGTGCAGCTTTCACACCGATAATAAAAAGCAACAAACTTTTGCAAATGCGCCAGCGAAATGGATCATTATAAACTCTTTTCAGAGACTTCATCCATGGTAAATCTTCTTCGTATTCCTCTGCGTCTGACATGGCGAAAAATATTTAGCCACTGAACTCTGAAATACTCTTTCTCGTTCATATACAAATGTTAGATATTCATTTTTTATCAGAATATTTAACAATAAAAACAATTAATAACAGTCGATTCATACCATGGAGCTGTGAATGTATCTAGCTCAGTGATTCATACTTACATAATTCAGGGTGTATTTTATATTTCTTTATTTATAAAACTACGTTCTTGGCGCTTTGGACGTTTTGATCATCAACTGATACATTAATTAAATCTTGTCATTTTCAGAATAATGATTTCAGTTACCATAACCCGACAACTTAGAAAAACTAGAGAGAATGCAGGGCATACCGAAACTGTTCCTCTTAGTTTTATTAGTCAACAGTTTTAAAAAGTTCATGACATTAAAATTGCAGTATAAGTTGAATTAAGAAAGAATTCTCTGGCATTAACAGGCTGTAGGTGTAGAGCAGATATGAAAAAATATCCGAACTGTTGAAATTTTCAAAATTTCAGTGATGTAAATGAAAATAGCAACTACACTACGCAATTTCCGCTATTCGAGCAAAAGGTTTAAATAAAAAAAGTTTAAGTCAAATTCCAGCAAAGTATGACAATGTCACTGAGATTTAATATAAAGTTAAAATATCTTATTCATTCTTGGCACGGCACATTTAGATGTTACTCCTGACATTTTAGGTAAGCTCTTTTTTTGTTTAATTTTTTTAAAAAAAAAAAACCGTTGTTGGAACGTTAAAAATCGTGACGTTCAATGGGAACGTTGGGTGTAAATAGACACGATTGTTATTAGAGCATATTTAATACACTAATTAATTACACAAATATTCTTATGAAGTAGAAGATGCAAATAAATCATAGATCCAATATCAAGCACAAAATATTTGACATATTTGTAAAATTCTCTGACTGTTGAGAAAAAACATAATTGAAAGTGAACGAAAATCAAACAAAGAAATGAAATGTAGCATTAAAAATTTAATAAATATGTCTGTATGACTTAAACAAACTTATTGGATGATTTTTTACTGGAATGTTTTATGATATGTTTTATGGAAGCAGTTTTTTCAATATTTTTTTTGAAATTTCCTTTCCTTCCGAGAAAATGTTTTGTGGCCTACCGTAATTTAAAATAATTTGCATTTCTCAACACTAAAACATGAACTTTATTTAAGACTTCAAATAAAGAAATGTATTATAAAAGATTCAGATTTAATTTCCTATTTTTGAAGTTCAGGTTCTTCAATTTCTTGTTCAGAATCTGTACTGTGCGAAAATTTTAGTTCAAATAATGTAATAGCAACTTCATCATCACTTGATAAATAACATGTTTTTCTAAAAATTGTTTATTACTTCTATATCATTCGGATTATATGGGTTGAAATAAAACATGAATGAGCCTGCCATGTTATAAAAAAGTCACGTAAACGAGAACGTTGGGTCTGATGGACCCATCAACAACTTTAAGCGGGAATAGCTCACCAGGTTTTTCTGATTAACTCAAACAAATCTGTTCAAGAAGATTCAGTTTGATGGTAGACTGGTGGGTAAGTTAAGAAATAATTTCGTTCATTCGATAGACGGCTTCAAAGATCCAGACCCAACGTTCCCACCGGGAAGAGATATACGTAACACATACTTCCATCCACCCAAATTCTGATTTTCGGGTACCAAACTGCATGTACGTATGTCCTTGTCATCTTCACCAATCTTAATCTCATTCAGAACAGCAGTAATTGACGTTAATAATGACTTGTTACAGCTTGAAATGATCTTCAACAGAATTTGAGGTCATGTCGCTAAGATGATTCCAATACTTTCCGTGTAACAGAAATGTGATTGAATGGATAATCACACTACAGCTTTGAATTTTTAGTGATTAGCCCAATCTAATAAAACAAAAAGTTGTGATCGAGTGACCAAAAATGTCAGGGTTTTGAAACTTGGCATGATTGTTCATTGGTATTAACCATGTATCATATTAAAAATCCTGATGTGTAGGGGCTTAGCAGGGGTTAGGGACCGTTTAAGGGTGGGTTTTCTTTTTTTTTTCTTTCTCGCTTCAGAGTAGAGAGAAAGTTATGTAACGCTGCGCGAAAAATCAGCAAAATTTCAGCAGAAAAACTCTTATTACAGGGATCTAGTTACGAAAAAGTAGATAAATCCAATTGCTTAAGTGGTGCTAAACCAGCACGTACTTTCTCGCCTTTAGTGACGGTTATGTATTACTATTTATTCCGCAATTTCTCACATTAACACATCTTAGTCATCATTTGTTGTAAACCTCATTTGAATTTGTAGAGCATTTGATGCGAAAATTAGTTTCAACCTGTAGATTTTTTATTCAAAACTTTAAATCAAAACATATTTCTGACTTTGAATTCATTGTATAAGGTGTGTATTTACGAACATATCTGATGCGTTTTCTAGCCTTACAATATGTGTAAGCAGTGTGTGAGAAAGTAATATAATTAAAAGTTAATAAAGAATACGATACTTAAGCGTTGGCAAACAAATGTAAATAGATTGAAAAATATATAATAGTAATTATTAAACACAAGGACATTTCAGAAAATGGTGTAAGTCTCTTTTCTTTAAAAAAATCTGATTATTCGAAAATTGCAAAAATTCAAAATGTTTTCGGCGTCTTCCTGCAACTGCAATTAGAAAGAAAGAGATTTTTTCACTAGACGAAATCTGTTCTTTAAATACAATTTTGCAAATAATAACATGCACAATTTTTCAAAAATTTGAGTACTTTTCGCGTACGGACGTATTTTGCGTGAAAGTACGGACGAGAAAGTATGTGCCCCACTACTGTAGTTTGCATGTGTAATTATAAATGTATTATATTGATTATTATGATATGTTCATTGCACGGAAGTAATTTTATTTCTGTGCAACATTTATCAACAATCTGTATGTGCATTTTTTCATTTTATCATGAACATTTTACATCTTATCAAATCTTTTGTACAGTAGACTGGCGAGTCATTAATTACAAATAAGTCCCAAATATTGATCATTCCAAAGAACAATATAAAAAGTTGGTAGCGTAAGAAATATAATAATAATAAATATCATTAATCATCACAAAAATCAAGTTTGATTGATCATGGCTATAGGAACAATCCAGCATTTAAACACATTTGAAGTAAAGGAATAGAACGATTGGTTGAACATTTTCACTGTAATATCTCGAGATAATTCATTATATTCTATTAGTGTATACTTACTGCTAACAAACGTCTTACTTAGAATGTCAGTGTACCAAAGGATGAAATAAAACAAATTTCGTAATGTTCTTGAAAGAAAATCAATAGTATGTTATCAATGAAAATTTACAAAAATAAATAAAAATATTTTTAGATAACTCTAGATAAACTAAATAAAAATAATCCACAAATTATTTACGCAAATCTCTATCAGTTCTCCTTATGTTCTTAG